ATGATAATGATGATAGTAGAGTACAATGACAATAGTGATGTTAATGACAATGATTCTGATAGTAACGATAAAGAGAGTGATGAAGATGAGGCTGACGATAAGAATGATGATGAAAGTAAGATGCCATTATAAGTGATGATTATAATGGTGATGATGATGATGATTGTGATGAATAGGCAGAATTCGTAGTAAAAAAAAAGAAGACTTGAATGTATTTTTTATATATATATATATATATATATGCAAGTAAATCACTGTAGGTGCGTGATCTAGGTATATGCTGATAACCACAAGAAAAGAAGAAACACAAGGTTCTGGCAACAAATTGTGATTCTCAGAGTGAGTGCAGACGTTCTGGAGAACCATCCATCTCTATCTTGGACAATCTCACAGTCATCCAGGAGCCATTAGTGGCGACACTCGTCCCAGCGTTGCATATGTATTAATCCTCTCTCTCTCTCTCTCTCTCTCTCTCTCTCTCTCTCTCTCTCTCTCCTCTCTCTCTCTCTCTCTCTCTCCTCTTCTCTTCTCACAACGAGTATAGTTTTGAAATAACGAGTAAGATCGAACACTTTTTACTGAGTTCAACCCCTATTTTTCCCCTTCGTCGATGATAAACGATCTGGAGTGTTCAGAACCGATCCAGTGAAATATTTTCTAGGAGGGGAGCGTTACGATCGCCCCTCTCCGCTCCACCCAAATCAAATCGTCTTATTGCCTCCGAAAAGTGGTTAAAGGGTGGTTGAAAAGGTGTTAGTAGTGGAAGGAAGGATTTGAAAAAAGGTGCTATGGGATGAGAGGATGGGAGGGTGGGAAGGGGGTGAAAAGTACGAGGAAGAAAGGAAAGACAAAAAGGAGGGAGAAGAGGGTTTTGTGCTAGTGGAGAGGTGAGAGGAAAAGAGAGCTAGGTGGTGCTTGTGGAAGGGAAAGGGAGGAAGAGAGGGTATGGGAGAGGAGAGGAGGGATGAAAGGGGTCCTAATGAAGGATGGGAGAGGCGGTAGAGATACTTAAAGTGGTAGAATAGGTTTTTAAGGAGGAGAGATAGAATGGATGGGTGAAGTGTTACTGAGAGAGAGAGAGAGAGAGTCGATATTAATTGGAGATGGTTGAAAAGAGCTGGGGGTGTTAATAGGAAAGGAAGAAAGGAAGGGAGAAACAGAGAAAGGAAAGGGTCACAGTGAGTTGGTCTTAATGTTAGTGGAAAGGAAGAAGTGGTTCAGAGAGGGAAGAGATAAAGAAGGTCCGATAGTAGTAAGACGAAGGAGGGAGGAAGGGGGTCGGAAAGATTGATGGAGGATGGTAGATGAATGGCATTAAACGATGGCTCTACCCGCTGCAGTAATGATGGCACCCTCTCACCCTGATTGATTAAGTGGTTATCGGATGACGTTTCAATTTACCAGCCCGCTTATATTTCCTAAATTACGAATGAACTTTAACCGTTTATGTGAATGGTCTTTTTTATATATTATACTGTATGGTAGAAACTAGTGGATAGCTCCGTGTGTTGGGACGTGTCTTGACAGGTGCTCGTCAGGAATGAAAAGATAGGAAAGTTTTATTTCGATTTTTCTGTCGTTTTACCGGGTTCAGTTTTCATTCTACATCTTGATGAAAATTTCTGACTGAAGTCAATATCCCTCCCCTCCATCCATCCCGTACTCTTGATAGGTACTCGTCAGGAAGTGAAGGTGGAAGAATTTTTTCCCGGGGTCCAGTTTGCCTCCCCGTCTCCTGACAGGTAGCCGTCAAGGTCTGGATATACAGAAAGGACTACTGGGGTGTTCGTTTGTGTCTGAGAAGTCGTAGAAATATTATCTCTTCCTCCCGAATAATTATTGAGGACTGGAGCTGCCTGAAACACCTGATTGATACTGAAACACCTGAGTCGCTGAAACACCTGACTGATACTGAAAAACCTGGGTGGCTGGAACACCTAACTGATACTGAAACACCTGAGTCGCTGAAACACCTGACTGATACTGAAACACCTGGGTGGCTGGAACACATCGATACTGAAACACCTGAATCGCTGAAACACCTGCCTGATACTGAAACACCTGGGTGGCTGAACACATGACTGATACTGAAACACCTGATTCGCTGAAACACCTGACTGATAAGAAAACACCTGAGTCGCTGAAACACCTGACTGATACTGAAAACCTGGGTGGCTGGAACACCTAACTGATACTGAAACACCTGAGTCGCTGAAACACCTGACTGATACTGAAACACCTGGGTGGCTGGAACACATGACTGATACTGAAACACCTGAATCGCTGAAACACCTGCCTGATACTGAAACACCTGTGGCTGGAACACATGACTGATACTGAAACACCTGATTCGCTGAAACACCTGACTGATAAAGAAACACCTGAGTGACTGAAACACCTGGGAGGCGCGTTAAAGAACTCAATCTGGTACACCGAGGAAGTGGCACCTTGACTCACTCAGCAATTACAATTGTAAATTTTAGGTGAAAACTGGAGTGTGTCTTGATTGTGTGTTGGGAGACACTGGTGGAGAGATGGTAGAGGCTAGGGGAGGAAGGAGGAAAGGTGGGAGGCCAGGTGGGAAAGGGGGTGGAGGCAGGGTGAAAGAGGGCCCCTAGGAAAGGAGGGAAAGAGGGAGAGAGAGAAGTTGTGAGGGGAAGATGGGAGGGGTTGTGGCTGTATGAAAGGAGGAATGACAGTGGAATCGGAAAGAAAGAGAGAGAGAGAAGGAGAGGAGAGAACAAGTTAATTAATTCCACACACACACACACACACACACACACACACACACACACACACACACACACACACACACACACACACGCAGTCCTATATAGACATGATATAAATAGTGTAAGCAGATACTAGTGCTGTGACGACATAGGACTGATGCCCATTATAACACGGCCTTAATTATATTGGTCAAATTAGGTAAAATAAGACTTGGGCCCAGAGAGAGAGTACAAAACACAGATTAGACAGACAGACAGACAGACAGACAGACAGACAGACAGACAGACAGGAGTAAGGGTATTAGGAATTGATCAGGACACACAGTCTCTTGGGATGTTGACAGCCCTCGTTGGTCCTCCTGAAGGAATATCAGTGTTGATACAGCCAGCAGCAGAGACAAAGTCCCGACATCACCAGCAGAGCTCAGGTAGGCGAGGGTGCTGGGAGGAGGAGGAGGAGAGGAAGAAGACAACCAAATGGTGGCAACAAAACACGAGCAATAAAGGAAATAAAAAGGAGAGGAAGATAATGATGGAGGGAGAGGAGAGAGGAAGGAACGTCAAGCAAGGGAGGAGCCTTTGTCTTAGCAAAGGGAGAGATGATGATAAAGTGAATCGGAAATGGAGGAGCTATTGTTTGATGGAGGGGAGGGAGGGAGAGAGGAAGGGTAAGCTACATGGGCGAACATTATTATCAGACCACATCGTGTTCCTTTTCCAAGTTTTCAGCCATTTTCTTTTAGAAATGACTTGCCTCGTTTTGTTTCCACTCAGAACTTTTATATGACATGACAGTCGAACGAACGAATAGCCTGTTTACTTTCTCTCTCTCTCTCTCTCTCAGTTTTACTCTGTTTTCCTGAATTTCCGCATTTGCTTATTCACTATTTACCCAAATCACACACACACACACACACACACACACACACACCCACAACAACAACAACACACACACACACACACACACACACACACACACACACACACACACACACACACACACACACACACACACACACACACACACACACACACACACACACACACACACACACACACACACACACACACACACACACACACACACACACACACACACACACACACACACATACACACACACACACACACACACACACACACACACACACACACACACACACACACACACACACACACACACACACACCATAAGAGCCCATTTCATATAGGTTCCCTCATAACATTACCCCATAGAATGGATTTTGATCCCCACTACCCCAGGTCACACACACACACACACACACACACACACACACATATATCATCCCAGAAACAACGATGAGATTCGGAATTTATTGGGAATGTGTTTGCCAGACTGGAGAGGGACAAACAACATGGGCGGAATGGGATCAGGAATTTCTGTGCCTCCTGAAGTCAAGAGTTTGTTTTGGTCTGAACTGTTTAAAGGCTGGGCAGCTGATGGAGGCAAGGGGGGAGAAGAGAGGGGGAGAAGAGAGGGGAGGAAATGGGAGAGGAGAGGAAGGGTGGGAGAGGCGGGAGAGGAGAGGAAGGGGCAGAGAAAGAAAGAGAAAAGGGGAAGAGAGGAGAGTTAAAGGAAGGTGCAGAGGGGAAAGGAGGAAGGAAGCTAGGGGAGAGAACGAGGTATGGAAGGGAGACAGAAAGGGTGAGGAGGAATGTGAGCTGTCTCCCTTTATGTGTGATGGGATGATCTTGATGGGCATGATGGGAGTAAAGGAGGAAAAAAGAAGCATATTGTATGTATGTATGTATGTATGTATGTATATAATGATATTAGACTATAAATAATGTTTTGAAGGGAGTGAAGAAGAATAAGAGTGGAACAGGTCAGTAGGGTTGAAAAATGTTCCATAACAGATAGGAATTAATGACCATCTAGTCGATTATTCTTTTTTTTAACCTGGTATTTAAACTCTATATTGTACGATAAATTTTCTTCTCGTATCTTAAGATGTCTTCATGTTCCCAAGACGTTTTAAAAATATATCATCAGATAAGATAAAAATAGTCTGGGTGTATAACTTAAGTAGATACGTTTACTAACGCCAACACAACGTGAAATTATTGAATGTCCGGAGAAAAAAAAATCTAAAATTATTTGTTAAGTGACTTGGCCTCGTTAAGGTATAGTCTCAGTCTATATTTGTTGCCATGTGTTTGTCTCGTACTACTGCGTTCTTACGTCTTTAATTACGAGTAGAATTTATCGTACTAACATTTTGAGAATCTGTACCCAGGTTTAGGTCCGTCTTTTGAGTTTATTGGTAAGTAAATGATGCAGAAAGTAAAAAAGGAGAATTGAAAAAAATGAAAATATAAAGAAGAATAAGGAGAAGAATAAGAAAGAAAAAGGACTAACTTGTTTCTCGATAACAAGTTTGTCTTTATTTAACGATACTTGGCAGTGTTGTGTCTGTCTTTTTCTTTTCCTTGTGGTTTTATTTTTTTTGTCTTTTCCTCATCTCATCTTTACTACTTGTACGTCTTCTTGTTCAATATTCTCATTTTCTCTTGTCTTCTTCTCTTGCTATCGTCTTCTCTTATTTATTTATCCATTACTCCTACCGACTCATTCCAGAATTAATGGGATGTGACATGTTTTTGGGTACTCAGCAGCGCCTATGGTGGCCGTTCTGGCAACTAATCTTTGCTACTTATGGTGATACGTCATTTGTAGAAGTGTACT